CACTTAAACATTAAATGCTTAACCAACATTTAGCAGGGGCCATAATTCGTTGCAATTTCGACCTTGAAAACGAAGTAACAGCAGCAGAAATAAAAATATGTTTGAGATCAGAGGGAAAATGTACAGAAGTGTGAGCAAAAACATTTATTAAATTAATGTTAATACTATGGAACATTATTTTATTCTCAAATAGATTCCTTAAAATATGTTTAAATTCATGCTTTCTATTTTTGGTAATGTTAAACTTTGGAACAAAAGCCGTTTTTAAAACAAAAGACTTAAGCGCCAAACTATAAAGAAATTAAAAATAAAATAAAGCAAAAGACTTAACCCCAAGACTGACAATACATTTTTTATAAAAACCCGAAAAAAAACCCGCAAAAAAATCAAGAACCCATCACCCAAGCAAGCGCAAAAAATGTAATTAAGTTAAACGAAATTATTTTGTTAACGCGCCGGCAATTTATAATTCATATACTTAATACATATGTGGAGCGAACAACAGGGCATGTTTATAAATAAATATATAACAAAGCGGCAATCGCGATGGGCAGATTTTCGTGGATCGATAAAACTTAATTGCATGGCACTTAATGCATTTTAAGTTGCGGCCAGCGAAATGAAATGAGTGGGTAACCCGAGACGGAAGGTCCTAATAAAGACCTTGGAAGCCCTTAGAAATCGAACTATCAACAGCAGCTGAAGCGGAAGAAACACAAACTAAAAACCCCTAAGAAACGAAAAACAAAAAGAAATAAAACCCAAAAGCCAAATTGGGCGTTAGAGACAAATTCATTTGGGGAGCGAGAAAAGGAGCCCATAAATTTATAGACTGTCCCGAGGGTCTGTTGGCCAGAAAAAAAAGCGATCTTGATCTTGATACAGGCAAAAAGTAAAGAGAGTAAAAAAAAACAATATCCGATCGGATCGGATCGTGTTGCAAATGGGTTGGCACAACACTTGAGTCCTTGTGGCATTAGAATTGCTAAATGCTGCAAGGATCGGCAGGAAAAAAAGGGTTCGCTGTTTAGGCTTTTACACTACACTACATAATTTGTAAGGGAAGCGCGCGGACATTAGGTCATTTGGTCAGCGATAAAGGGAAAATAACCGGGGAAAGGACCTGAACAAAAAGCACCTGTTAGAAGCTTGAACTTCCTTCCTTCAAACGGATGCATTCATCAATTTGGCAGGATCGCAGGAAGCTTCTTCCTGCCGTCTTTTTTCCCCCATTTTCTTGACAAGGGTTCTGCATCTGCTATTCTATTTTTTTTGCAGGACATTTGAAAGGAACAGAAAACACGCACTTGTCAGTTGGCCAGGGAATTGATTAGCTGTCTGTCGACTAATCGATAACACTCCACCACTCTCGCATTTATTTCCATCTCATTTTTAAGCCATCTTTTTTTTTTTTTGCATTTGTCAACGTTTTCCGTTTAGTTTCATGCTCTATTAAATTCCGTTCGGCATTTGCAATCGTTTCGGTTTGTTTTAGCTTTGCGAAAGCAAAAGTTTCGATGGGTGGCTGTTGGGGTGGATCGATGCGTATTTGAAGTGGGTCACCCAGCCGGAGATTGGCCAATGGGTTCATGGGCCAACGAAGGGCTGACACTGCCCTATTGCCTCATATTTGTTATGCTTTGTTTCTAAAAATGGCTTTAAGAAACCAAATTGTATTTTAACTGAGTTTAAAAGAATAACCATTTATACGGGGTTTATTAAAAGTAGAAAATATAACATAGTTAATTAAGCCACAATTTGTTTTTTAAGTAAACTTTAATGTAACTTTTATTACCTACCACGAATTTTGATTAATTAAGTTTTGATACGAGACTTGATAGCTTTTGCAGGTTGTCTCATCAGCTTGCCTCAACCAATAGCAATTATCTGGCAGATCCAATCATTACTTAATGCTTAAACAATAGCTAATCAAGAGAACAGCACCTGGTGCATGTTATTAATATTGGGGTCAATTTATGTATGTTGCAGCATGATCAGCATTATTGTCAATAGCATCATGGATTAAAGAGGCCCACTAAGCGTTGGGTTGGGTCTGGAACTGTTCATTGTTCAGCCAGTTATATAGCTAAACATATATATATATATACACATAGCTTAAAAGATACATATACATTTATTTGTATATGGGCAGAGCTGCTTGGAAAACGTTGCCGCCTCTGTCAACGTGTTTGGCATTTGCAATTAGACACACAGAACCACTTGAAAAGCAGAAACAAAATATAAAACAAACATGAAGAAGCACAAGACCAAGAAGGAAGGTTGGCTGAAAGGGGGTGGCAGGTGGGTGGGTGTGTGCCGTCATCGAATTGTCGTGCATGCCAGGAATTAAATATGCGATAAGCTCAGAATGCGTTTGGAATTTGACTGACATCGCCATCTCTATTTCTGCGACATTTTCCTCTCTTTCTGTACAAAAATAAAATAGTTTGGATTTTTCTGTATACCTTCAAATAAAACTAAAATTATTATATAAATAAAATATATATTGGTGATTTTCCTTAACGACAAATTTAAAGTTATATCTTTATAGTGTTACGTGTACTTCCCACGTAGTTTGCTTTAATACGCAGGTGCCACCCGCATATGCATTAAAATTAACAAAAAAATATGCAAATACTTCCTCAAAAAAATCCGAATGAATATAAAGCAAAATGCTGAAATACAGACATAATTCAGGAACCAAAGCTCAAACATAGGAACTCAAAGGGATTACTTCATCTAAATCACATGGAAATTCCCGCAGAATAACAATATGAACAGCAACCTGGGTTCATCTACCCAATTAGCAGGCGGCAAAACCGTAAAATCAAAAATCCATATGTACGTAGAGGGCGCGAAAAATAAAAAATAAAATGTATTACGAATTCTAGACGACAACTTCAACGGTTCGGATCGAAAAGCTTTGCTTTGTCGGCATTGTCATGCACAATTTACATTTATATAGTATAGTACACAACAAGAAATTAATTACTGGTTAAACCAAGTATAAACAAAGAACTAATGTATGAAGTCCAAGTGTATTTAACAGATACAGATATTCAAAAATATTTCATATTTTTCAAAAGAGGTTTTTGTAATTTGTACTACTATTTTTAATATTTTTTGTATTAAAAATATTATTCCTTTAACAATTAATAATAAGAAAAGCTTTTTAAAAAATATTTTTTTTTTTTAAGTGTACAAGACACAAGCAAATGTATTTCATTTTTGTTGAAACTCGCACTTTTTGTGGGTTTTGAGTATTTTTTTCAGTTTTTTTTTCTTTATTTTTGTCATTTTTTTTTTGTGTTTTTACGACGCATTTCGCGCTAGACGAAATCGGTGGAAGCCTCCGATTTCAGTGGGGCATAAATTTAAATTGAAAAGTTCAAGCACACACACGGTGCGAAAGGGATGGAGCGAGTATGTAAATAAATTTACGGTAAAGGATAAAACGTACATTGAACTCTTTGAGTGTTAGCGAAAACGAGATGGCCAGATATTCTAGGTAATCGGCAGTTTGCCCTCTTTGTTTAGATAGAACAAATTCTAATTGTTTTAGCGCTCTTTTTTCTCACTTTGTTTTAATTGCTGTTGGCTCGAGGTCAATGTTTGTGCTTTGTGTTTTATTGTACAATACAACTTCAATTGAAATTCATTTCCTCATGGCAGCAACACACAAAAATTATAAAAAAAAAAACAAATACGCCTTTTTCGCATTTCATTTTCAACTTGAAAAACTCAAGCTCAAACATGTTTTCTGTATGTGTTTGTGTAATTATAAACATTTTACAATTCGCCTTGACCTTAACACAATAAAATAAATTACAACTATGGCAATGCAAACTCACACACACCAATCAACTAAAACTTGTAACATGTAGAATCAATGTAAGATGTAGAATGTGGGCGTGTAGAATGTGGGCATGTGGGCGTGGCCCGTCTATTAACCCATTAAAAACATAAATGGCATGCCAGGCATTTCGAAGGGGTGGGGAAACATGCGTTAAATCGGCAAGGCAAACGATCAATTATAGCTTTATTGTACAGTGGATTTTATGTAATTTTTAAATTTTAAAAAATGCATACAATTGTACATATGCATTTGTATGAAGGCTAGAAATGAATGAATTTTTAGTATCAAATAAATGTTGTTTAATTTTTTCCAACACAATCTCTTACTTTAAAGACGTTTTAAATCAAATTATTAAATTTATTTGATTTTAATTGATTTAAAATCAATCAAGGCTTAAAAGTGTGTACGTACATATGTATGTGCATGGATGTGTACGATTGCGTTTGACAGTTAGAATTTATGTGACGATAATGTCGACGTCAACTGCGCAGCTACTGCAAGCATTGGCCATGACCAACAGAGCGAGATAGCGAATGCGTGATTGTCATTTGTAATTGCACACACTCTTGCAATTGCACACTCTTAAAGGGCCAAGAAAAACAACAACAACGGACACCCACGCTACCAAACATACACACATGCATACATACACACTTATGCATAAACAAAAAGCCTTGATCTTGATCGAAACAACAACAATAACAACTTACTAGGCAATGTTGTTGATTTTCTTGCCTTTTTTTTACTGCACTTGTTTTGATTTAAAGCCAAGACGGCTTTTAGTGGCTAACCTTGTCTTTGCCCGTTTTGTCTTTGCACTTGCACTTGCAATTGGCAAATCGGCGTAATTAACCGACCGCAATTGATTTTAAAGCCATTTCAATTGATTTAATTTAAACAAAAAAGCCTTTAAAATTGGAAGTTCGAAAACACACGTTTTCAACTTCAATTAGAATACGGAGATTAATAATAAGACGAATGGAAAGAAAGCTAAGATTTATTATAAAATGGACTTTTAAAGGATTAATTGCTTATAATTGGACCTTAACTACATATGTACATATATAGATATTTTAATCCACTTTTACTTTGATTACTAGGTATACATACATACATATGTACTAGAATTGCATTTTTTATTTACCATATTTTATTCTGCTCTCAAGATATCCATTGCCATTACATTTCTTCAAATAACTTTAAATTCAGTTATTTTCTTGTTTTTCTTTAATTTACTCCCTTTAATATGGTACAATTTTAATTATCAACATTTTTCTACTACATTTCAAGCGTCACTTGCACTTGCGGATGACAAACTAAAAAGGATTTCGTAATTTCTCACAAGCTTCAAATGCGAGAGTGAGATGGCAATGGAATAGTGATCAGTGGGAAAAAGATAATAAGAAATGAATGTCGCACAAACAGCTCTCCGCTGTGAAACCCTTGGAAAATTCCAATATCACTTCTTAATGCCTTGTATTTTACTTGGAATATTTTTATTTCTTCTTTTTCTTACATTCAATATTTTCGTTGAGTGCCTTAATGCTTTCGAAATTGAGAAAATCTGTACTGCGCTTTTTCTAGCATTCTTTTTGAGGTCTAATAGTTTTCAGTCGCTTGTTAAAGATTGAAATTACAATTTCAAGATTTGCCTTTTTATTGATCTTTGACAACTCTATCAGCGTTACAGTACACACACACACTTGCATTTTTGATGAATACTAGATCGAAAGGAAGAACGCATTTCGTAGAAAATTCCGTTCCTTTTTACAGTTAAACGGCAATTGCCAAAGCGGACGGATCAGAAATACCGAAACAAAAGTTGCAACTTCTTATTTTTTTCAATTTCGGTTATTTCTTTCTTTGCTATCTTCTCGAATGTTCTTTATTTTCTACAGATTTGAAAAGCTTATTTACTTTTACCTTGATTAAAGTATGTATTCACCTGCTATTTATTAATTTTGTTCTTTTATTTCTTGCAGAAAACTTTGCCGCCGAATTGTTGCAGCGTCTAACACCCACCACCACCGTTACACAAAATAATACTGTTAACCCTATAACGCCTGTTAAAAGCGATACTCTGGTTAATAATAGCAAAGCCGATTTAGCCACCTCCGTTTTAGCCACAAAAGACTGCACAATTGAAAATTCCCCAATTAGTATACCAAAAACTCAGCAAGAAGAAGAGGAAGAAGAGCAGGAGAAAGTGAAGGAGAGAGAGGAAACGGAGGACAACGACAAAAGAGAGAGCAAAGAGGCGGCCGAGGAGGAGGAGGAGGAAGACGAAGTGGATGTGGGCGTAGAGGCACCACGCCCTCGATTCTATAACACCGGAGTGGTTTTAACCCAAGCCCAACGAAAGGAATATCCCCAAGAGCCAAAGGATTTAACATTGTCCTTGGTCCAATCCTCGCCAGTTTCCCCAAAAAGTGACTCCGACTCGGATTCCGATTCGGATGGTGGTTGTAAGCTAATTGTGGATGAGAAGCCCCCGTTGCCGGTGATTAAGCCTTTATCCCTGCGCTTGCGCAGCACACCGCCTCCAGCGGATCAGCGTCCCAGTCCACCACCTCCTCGCGACCCCGCGCCCGCCGTTCGCTGCTCGGTGATCCAAAGGGCTCCGCAATCCCAGTTGCCCACCAGCAGGTCAGGTTTCCTCCTGCCACCCCTCGATCAACTTGGTCCCGAGCAACAGGAACCCATCGATTATCACGTGCCGAAAAGAAGGAGTCCCTCCTACGACTCCGATGAGGAGCTGAACGCCAGGAGGCTGGAAAGAGCGCGTCAAGTGCGCGAGGCACGCCGCAGGAGCACAATTTTGGCCGCCCGAGTGCTACTGGCCCAATCCCAAAGGCTGAACCCAAGATTGGTGCGTTCGCTGCCCGGAATTTTGGCCGCTGCCGCCGGACACGGCCGTAATAGCAGCAGTTCTAGCGGTGCCGCCGGTCAGGGATTTCAATCCTCCGGATTTGGCAGCCAAAACAGCGGCAGTGGTGGCTCCAGTGGCAATCAGAACGCGGGCAGTGGTGCTGGTTCACCCGGATCCGGAGCCGGCGGCGGTGGTGGCATGGGCGGCGGCCGAGACGGCCGAGGGAACTACGGTCCCAACTCACCGCCCACGGGCGCACTTCCGCCCTTCTACGAGAGCCTTAAGAGCGGTCAGCAGAGCACGGCCAGCAATAATACGGGCCAGAGTCCCGGAAATCACTCTCATTTCAACGCGAATCCAGCAAATTTCCTGCAAAACGCGGCAGCGGCGGCATACATAATGTCGGCAGGCTCTGGCGGATCGGGAGGATCTGGTGGCGGATCTGGAGGACCAGGAGGAGGTGGAGGAGCAGCAACAAACGGTGGTGGTGGTGGCGGCGGCAATGGCTACATCAATTGTGGCGGTGTTGGTGGTCCAAACAGTAATCTCGACGGTAATAACCTTTTGAACTTCGCCAGTGTTTCTAACTATAACGAGTCCAATTCCAAATTCCATAATCATCATCACCACAACAACAACAACAACGGTCAATCCTCAATGATCGGTCATCCCTTTTACGGCGGCAATCCCTCAGCCTATGGCATAATACTGAAGGATGAGCCGGACATTGAGTACGACGAGGCCAAGATCGACATTGGTACCTTTGCGCAGAACATTATCCAGGCAACGATGGGCAGTTCCGGTCAGTTCAATGCCAGCGCCTATGAGGATGCTATAATGTCGGACTTGGCCAGTTCGGGTCAGTGTCCAAATGGTGCCGTCGACCCGCTGCAGTTTACGGCCACTTTGATGTTGAGTTCGCAGACAGATCATCTCCTGGAGCAACTATCCGATGCTGTGGACCTGAGTTCATTCCTGCAGCGGAGCTGCGTAGACGACGATGAGTCCACCAGTCCGCGGCAGGACTTCGAGCTGGTTTCCACGCCCTCGCTAACACCGGATTCGGTAACACCCGTAGAGCCGCACAATGGAAACACATCACAATTGGATGCCCTGCACGAGAATCTGTTGACGCAGTTGACCCACAATATGGCCCGGAATAGCAGCAATCAGCAGCAGCAGCATCATCAGCAGCACAATGTACAACAGCAGCATAGTGTCCAACAGCAGCAGCACAATGTGCAGCAGCAGCATAATGTGCAGCAGCAACATAATGTCCAGCAGCAACCACCGCCTTCGTATCAGCATGCCACGCGTGGCCTGATGATGCAGCAGCAACCGCAGCACGGCGGCTATCAGCAGCAGGCTAACATGATGTCGCAGCAGCAGCAGCAGTTGCTGAGCCAACAGCAACAGTCGCATCACCAGCAACAGCAGCAGCAACATGCCGCCTACCAGCAGCACAATATGTATGCCCAGCAGCAGCAGCAGCAACATCAGCAGCAACAACAACAGCATCACTTCCACCACCAGCAACAACAGCAGCAGCAACAGACCCATCACTCGCATCACCATGGTCATAGCCATGACAACAGCAACATGTCGCTTCCCTCGCCAACGGCAGCAGCTGCTGCGGCCGCTGCGGCGGCTGCTGCTGCTGCTGCAGCCGCCGCTCATCTGCAGCGACCCATGAGCAGCAGCAGCAGCTCGGGCGGCACCAACAGCAGCAACAGCAGTGCTGGCAGTAGCAACAGTCCACTTTTGGATGCAAATGCAGCGGCAGCAGCAGCAGCCGCCTTGTTGGACACCAAGCCACTCATCCAAAGCGTAAGTTATCCATTTGTTCAGCACCTAAATACCCAATCACAGCAGCAAAACCAGGCTCAAAACCAGAAGCAAATCACACTGATGAAGACCACTAGGTACACAGAGTTTGTGGAGATGTTGGCGCTGGATGTGTGTGTCAAGCCAGAGTCTCTAATCGAAGCCAGGCCAGATATAACCGAGATAACGACCGAGCAGTTGACTTTGGAAGCGGAGACACCAGCAGGAGGAACTTTGGTTCCACCGCCAGCTTCATCGGGCAGAAAGCTGCGTGGTCGGGCCAAGGCGGTGGCTTATGGCTCCACTATGATCACGCTGATATCCACGCTGAAATCCTCGCCAGAGGTGCCGGCCACCAAGACGGTGCACCGCACCACGTTGCGATCATTGGCCTCCGCGGCGGCGGCCACTGCAGCGGGACTGCTGGCGCCATCGCCCACCGTTTCCGTTTTGAATGAGAGCAAAGTCTTGCAACGGCGCGTAAGTGAGGAAGAGGAGTCGGTAATTGGTCAGCAAGGGTCTCCAGAAAATGAACTATCAAAAGCACTTTGATGAACTGATTTTTAAGATGGAAATGTTTTTCATAACAAATTTTGTTTGCTATCAACTTCTAAAGTTAATATTCAAAGTATTCTATATATCCACTCCATTGTTCCAAAAGATTTAATTTCATTTAAAAATGAAATTTTTCTAACTTAAAATTTGTATGTTGTATGAAAACACAGTGTTCATTAGACATTTGACAAGTTTGGCTTGTATTTCTTATATATGAAGAAGGAATATGTAAAATTTACATTTATATAATATGTGGAAAAGCTAAACAATAAAAAAAAAGAATTTCATTAATATAATAATCTTAAAACGTACTCAACCTAAAAATATTTAGTAAGAGTTACAGTGGGTTGTAATTAATGTTTTCATTATAAATGAGAGTTTATCTTCAAATCATGAATGTATCATTTGCAATGGGTTTTTATTTTTATCAGTTCACTAAAGAGTTTTTTTTGGGTACATTATTTGGATTTAGGGCCTGCGCTAAACATTTACCAACGAGTCTTCCTAGGAGATAACCCGATTACATGTCTTTAACCTGATGTTTGTGATTGTCTATGATTGTCTTAGTTTTGTTGAATCCTCAAAAAAAATATTCTCTTAACCTTAATTAATCAATATATTACGATTTCTTCAACAGTTGGGCTTGCCACCGGATCTGCAACTGGAGTTTGTCAACGGCGGACATGGCATTAAGAACCCGCTGGCCGTGGAGAATGCCCATGGTGGCCATCACCGAATACGCAACATCGATTGCATTGATGATCTCAGCAAGCATGGCCACCACTCGCAGCAGCAACAGCAGCAGCAAGGTTCACCGCAGCAACAGCAGCAGCAGAGTATGCAACAATCGGTGCAGCAGCAGCAGCAACAATCGGTGCAACAGCAGCAATCCCTCCAGCAACAGCAGCAGCAACTGCATCAGCACCACAGTAATAGCAGTGCAAGCAGCAATGCCAGCAGTCACGGATCCGCTGAAGCCCTTTGCATGGGCTCATCCGGCGGAGCCAACGAGGACTCGTCCTCGGGCAACAATAAGTTTGTCTGCCGCGTCTGCATGAAGACATTTTCGCTGCAACGACTGCTCAATCGGCACATGAAGTGCCACTCGGACATCAAGCGGTATCTGTGCACCTTCTGTGGCAAGGGATTCAACGACACCTTCGACCTCAAGCGGCACACGCGCACCCACACCGGCGTCCGGCCGTACAAGTGCAACCTGTGCGAGAAGAGCTTCACTCAGCGCTGTTCGCTGGAGTCGCACTGCCAGAAAGTCCACAGCGTCCAGCACCAGTACGCGTATAAGGAGCGCAGGGCCAAGGTGAGAAAGCGGGGTACAAAATGCCTGTTAGGTTTCCTTAATTTGAGCTGCTTATAATATTGTTTTTTTTATCAATATGTCAATATGTTTATTATAGTTCTCAGAAGAAACAGACAAATCTCTTACAAATGAATTTTAATATAAGTTCGGAACTAATTGATCGGATAAAGACTTTCAGAGTTATAGGTTTTGGAAGTTTTGGAACATGCCAAAAAAGGTATTCGTTCAAACATTTTCAAAAACTTCAAATATTTAACTGGGTAACATAGGTTACATTGTATTTTAAACACAGTTTTCGATAAATTCAAATTTTAAATAATTTAACTAATATCCACCTTTTATTTGCAGATGTACGTGTGCGAGGAGTGCGGTCACACCACCTGCGAACCTGAGGTGCACTATTTGCACCTGAAGAACAACCATCCATTCTCGCCGGCGCTGCTGAAGTTTTACGACAAGCGGCACTTCAAGTTCACCAACTCGCAGTTCGCCAACAATCTGCTCGGCCAGCTGCCCATGCCAGTCCACAATTAGTGGATGGATTTTAGTTCTAAGTATTTGAACAATTTAAGCAACCAATATTGTGACTTTGAAGTTTTTTGAAAACTGCCCCCCCCCAGCGGAGGATACGGAATTTTTGGAGATTATGCTTATTATGTATATTTTTGCCTAGCCGTAAGATTTGGTATAAGCTGTAGGATTTAGTATCACGCTACCCCACTCACTTTGCTGTGCAAATCTCTCTTACTTGAACAATTGAGCCCTTATGTTTATAGTTAATCTTGAATTTTCGTTTATTACAATCAATTTTTTTTTGGAACACCGCTTCTTAGTCAAAAAGTTATCGTTAGGCCTAAGAAATGTTTTGAAGATGCTTTGAGCAACACACAAATTATGGATTATCACTCGTATGTAGGTATATATATATTACACGAAAATATATAAAGGATATAGCTGTAAGATGTGAGGAGCTACCAACCGAACAAGCTGCAAACGTTTGCATTTATTTGTATTCAACAAAAAACAAAAAAAAAGAACGCGAAAAAAATGAGCAAGGATATCATATAAACACACCACCAACCATACGCATACATATTTATTATTAATCACAAACCACATTGCAAAGAGGCAAAACATTCAAATAAACTAGGCTAAGGTCGATAAAAAAAACACGTAAACTAAAGCTGTTCATAAATGAAGTCAAAGCCCAACAATATCCAATACATTATGAAAAATTCGAATCGCGAAAAAAATATTTGAATATATATTTTATTAATCCTAGCTCTTAGGCAATACCACCAATTGTACTGATCTTAAATGAACAAACACTAAAAAACACATAAATATATATTATATACATATCTGATGAGCCTTAGTTTTTTGAATAAGTTAAAATTATTTTGAATCTGGATTCGAATTTGAGTTTGAATTTGATTATGATTGAGAGAAACCATGAGTTTCTTTCCTAACATTAAACTGCATTATTTTTTCTGTTTTAGCTTAGCGCTTTTTTTTTCTTTTAATTTGTTGTAAGCAACAACGGGTTTTTTGTGCAATCGCTTGGTGTTGGTTAAATGGAAAATAAGGATGAAATGACAAATCGGATTTAAGGATCGTAATTTAAGATTTATGCGGGGGCTGTGCACTGCGGCGCCACGCCCACCGCCCGCTGTACAGCCCCCGAAGAATTAAAAGAATAGGGTGGAAAAACGAAGGAGGATATCGAAACTTGGCAAAGAAAATAACTTGTTTTAGTCTCCTCCCTCAAAACACTTAGTCTTAACTAGAAAACTTTCACTCACACATATCTACACACATATATAAATATCAATTCAGCACACACACACACAACACACTTAAATATTTACCTAAATTTAGTTAGTTAGTTTAGGCAAAATTTAAACTCGAAATGAAAAACGGAAACGGAAAATTTGATTAAAAAAAATCTTAGACTTCCATAAAAAAATTCCAAATTTTTTTTAAAACAATTATCTGTAACGAATCTTGTATGAAACGAACAAGAAAAACAAAATTTCTTAAAAAAATATATATATTTAATATATAACACAATTTGAATGGAAAACAAATTTGTTTAGTTGATAATGAAACAGTTTTTTTTTGAAACTATCAATTATGTATACTATATATAATTATTATGAGAAGCGAATTAATTAATAAATATTAAATATGACAAAATAATAAATAAAATTTTTTATTACAAAGAGGTGGTAAGTATTTATTTATCTTATTACAAAAATTAAATGTTATATAAATCGACCATATAGAAAATTGTATGTGTACAATGAAGCTATGTCGATTTTCCGATGCATTAAAGTGTTCGTATGGCAGCTATAGAATATAGTCGTCCGATCCGGCTCTTTTCGACTTATATAAAGTTTCATCCGAATAGCTTTGAATCGGAGAGACTAGATTGTGAAAAAAAATAATAAAATATAATATCCAAAACTAAAAATATAAGTAGTATTCCATTAAAAACTCAGTAAATTCGGACGCTCATTATAATTATTTTCAAATATTTTGTATTTTATTTATTTCGCTAGTTTCTTTATGTTTTTTCCTTCATTTTTTATGTTCAGTGTTTTTTTTTCAGAGATTTTCATTTCGTGTTTTACAATTTTTTTGTTTGGATTTTGTTCCATTTTTCTTGTTGATCTTGTCGATTTTATTGTTAGATTTTTGGATTTTTTTTGTTTGTTTTAATTTTTATATTGTTTTTTACATTAATTACTGAAATACACACACAGACACGGAATTACAATAAAAACTAGATTGTTTTTGGTTTCTTTTCGGTTTTATGCGTTTATTTTTTAATTATTCTCTGTTATTATCATGAATTTGAATATATGTGTTTGTTGTTCTTTATTTAATTTTTGGAGTAGTTTTAAACGGCTTTGCTTCGGCTACTTCATTTTTTAGTTAAACTAAATTGTTTAAAATTTCCACTATTAATTAAAGAAAACGGGAAAACAGGGAAAATAACCTCTTTTCAAATGTGATGCTTATATTTTTTGTAAGTTGTATCTTCCTTTAATATGTTGAGCAAATTGCGCCAATTTTAATTTTTTTTTTTAATTTCCGATTCCACAACTCTCTTTACATTTATATATACGCATATAGATATCTATACAGATAGATGTATACTTTATATCTGATATGAACCATCCGTCTGGGAATAAAAGTGAAAAGTAAATAAATCAAAACACAAATTTTACTCTGACAAAATATATATTTTCATTTTTTGTTGGTGTTAAATTAAGAAATAAAGATCCATTAAATGTTTACTATTTTAAATGAGAAATTATAATGGTTAATAAAATTATGCACTAAGATTAAATCATTTAAACATACTTGTTTTTTTCATTTGCATTTTTTTATACACAAAAACTAAGAGTAATAAAAAAAATATAAATATTTTCAAATACATACAACGCGCGATTTACACACGTTACCAGTGCGCTGACATATAACCCTGATCCAATAATTTGTTATTTTCTATGGTCGTACCCGATGCTATTGACCTATTAGTAGGCAATTAAAATCGTGATAAACCTGTCGATTAGGGAACTTATGTCAGAGCACCGAAAACAAAACAAGAACATAAAGTTGAACTGACTTTTAAACACACACTTTCCCTCTAAAAATCTCTTCTGTTCGTTTACACATTGATTTAGTAATTTGTAATGATCTTTATGTGTACACACATATATATATATATATATATATATATATATATGATTTCTTGTTATGTTCTTTTTTTTATTGTGGTTTCGCTTACATCGAGTCTAACACTAAAAACAGACACATTTCGTTTAATTTTTGCGCTTGCACTTCATCGTCGTTATGTAAACGTTAAGTTTGGTTTTCTCATATGTGTTAAAAATGCTTCTAAAAATTGTTTACCATATTTTGTTATTTCTGTTTTATTGTACACGCTACACACATAATTTCTGGTTTATTTTTTATTTTTTGCTTTTTGTTTGCATTTTCAAAATTTGTTTTTTTTTTCATTTCACATTCATTTAGCTTAGCTTTCTATAGTTTTTTTTTTTATATATTTTTACGGTGTTTTTTTAGGGGAGGGAAAAGGGAGGAGCGGTTTACATAATACTGAAAATACGACTAGACATTCATAGTGTATAAATACGATTTTTTTAATTTACTTTACCGTTTCTGTTTATAGATAATTTATTTAAATATATTTATTTACCTTTATTTATATATAATATATATACTTTCGTGGGCTTTATGTTGTTGTTCAGATTGAAATTGTTCGGTTTTTCTCAATATTTCTCGAAAATGCTTTAAAAAGTCGGGTTTTCTTCTAATCTTAGATCCTTTAACAAATTCGTAACTTAAAAAGTTGGCTTTTCTGCATATATATTTTGTGCATAACAAATTATTTTCCCTTTAAAAATAATTATTCTTTTGCTTAGTTACATTTTTTTTAAATTTAAATTTTGTTTGCTTTTTTCTTGTGTTAATATGATTATGTTGTTTTTAAATTTGTTTCGAGAATTTAGAATTTGCAAAGTTACACACAAGGGGAGACACATAGAAATTAGTTTTTAATAATTTTTCTCTCAATTATTTGATTTTAAGGTACTTTTATGTTAAAAATAAAGATGACAACTAAACCACATTTAATTTGTGTGAATGTGTTTTAAATTGGACTGTTCTTGGCTTCACAATTATATATCCATTTTTCGATCCTAATTTAAGGTGTTTTTGTGTGTGTATACTATGAAGTTTACAATATAACTTTATTAAATATTTTTTTATTGCAGAAAATTTGGCGTCCAAGCCTTTTGACCGGCCTGGTTTACACTTAAAAAAATATTTCACTTTGCTTTCTATCTTTCGCTTCACCCGTTTCCTCTTCGATCTTATTTAAAGTTACGTTTTTTTTTGTTTTTTTTCATTTTTTAATATAATACAAAAAATTTGTTTGTTGTGTGCGCAGTCGTTGAGATTAAATTTTTAAAAATTTAGTTGGTTGTTGTTGTTGTGGTGCAAAGTTGTTGGGTTTTTGTTAATCATCGTTTTTTATCCTTTTGTTGTTTGGTATATAAAATAGTATTTGTTGGAGTTTGGTTTTTGGATGTATTAAATCTTACAATATTTTCCTTTTTCTCTCTGCAAATGTACAAAAATTCGCTTTTTCCTCGATTGTTTTCGGTGTAACTGAAAGTGACTTTGGTGTACGTTTTTTTTTTAATTCACTGATTGCTCTCAGTGTACTGAAAAGGGGACGTGAGAAAAGGCGTGTGGGGCAGTGAACGATGAGTTTTTCCGAGAGGTTTTCCGAGAGGCTTTCCGGGATGTTTTTTTCAACTGTTTTGTCTCGTTTTTATTGGTTCCTTAAATTCGCCGAAAAATAGTGAAAATGAGGAGATATCGAATTCTTCAATGGATTTTCGATTCAAAGTGCTCGTAGTTTGTACATCACTCAAATCGAAAATATCAACTTGTTTTAGTTGCTTGCTAAAATTCGGGGTTACCCGAAAAGGGGATGGAAAAGGGGCGGGCCAAGGGTTTTATCAAGTGTTTATCGAATTTATCAACTATTCATCGATTTCTTTAACTGATTATCGAATTAATCAACTGGAAATTTGTACATCGTTCAAATCGAACTTTTAACTCGTGCGGAAGACAAATCCGTAATCAATGTTTTTTTTTCATTTGGAAAACAAAAACATTTTCTCTTTGCGCGTTTTTTCTTTGAGCTTTTCCACGTGTCTATGTGTGAATGTTTTGTGTTTTTATGATTAACGGCTCTTGTAATATAATTTTATGTATCTTTTAGTAACAAACAAAATGGCAAGCAACAACAATTATTATTACTAAGCACAAAAAAGCGAAACAAAAACTTTTTAAAAAAGACGACGAATCGGTTAAATATGATTTTCCTTCCATGCTACACACAGAAAAAAAAATGTGAACTCTTTCAGCTACGTTTTACAATTGTTGGCTAACTTGTTTGTTATACATTTATAATTTAATTAATTAATTTAAATAGATTTTTATTCATTATGTTGTTAACATTAAATGCTTTTGATAGAAGTTTTTGTTATGTGGATTCTTTTTTCTCCTCCTTTGTGGCATCCGATTCCCCATCCAGATATATATATATTTGATGGCTATATATATATAAATATATATATATATATATATTTGTTTTAGATAATTTTTAATTTTCGAAAACGAAAAGAATACACAAACAAATGTTGATGTAAATGCAAATGAAAAGATTTCAAGTGTTAATAGTAAAGATCAAGTAATTGTACAGCTGCTATGTATATTATATATTCGTATGCTTATGCAGTTTCGTATGTTAGGGTAAAGCTAAAGCTAAAGCATGCTCTTCCAGCTTAAAGACTACACAGAAATCAGGCTTACACTTAGCTACAGATAATCTATAGTATATAGTAATGCAAATCATAATCATATATCGTGTGGGTGTTTTTTGTATTCATGTGTTTATCTTGGGTACTTAGCAACTAATTAAGGAAACCACAAGGTGTTCGAGCGAAGGTGAAAGAGAGGTCAAAGTTCAGTGATGGGGGGGAGATTGCACATTAGAACTGCTAATAAAAAAAAAAATGTAAAAATACCTATCACTTAACACACTAACTATGCAAAAAATATATATGGATTCTCGAATTAAATGAAACAAATACTGCGCTTTTGGTAAGTGAAAACAAGGTGTTAATTAAAAATAAAAAAAGCATTAAGCTAAATTAAAGCAGCTTTCACTTATTCTCATTTTTTGATTCGTTTTTGGGAGCCAATACTGTAGGATCCTTGATTGTTAGAGAGATATAAGTTTGTAGACGCCTTTCCATATAAAAACAGCACATTGATTGCCTAGTCCATTAAATTATAATACAATTTCTCAAGTTATCTTTGCAATTACACAGGAACTTAATTTTCTTTCGTTTTGAATGCAAAAACTAAAGCCGAGAGATCAAATGCAAAACTATACAACTAAAATTAAGGTTCGCAATAGAGAATACAATGTGCTGAGCCATACGGAAAGTTAGAACAGAGATTTATGTATATAACTAGCGAGAAATATAAATTTAAATGATATGTAAAAATAAAAACTTATAATAAACAATTCGTGTTTCACATCAAGTTACAAGTTCATTTGAGATTTTCTTCTTTTTTACACAAAATTGGGGCGAAATTGTATACAATTTTTATAAACAAATCAGGGTGAGACAGAGGAATAAAGAGAAAGAGAGAGAGAGAGAGAGTGGACACGAGAGCAACAGAGACACACACAGAGTGAGCGAACGAGAGACAAGACAAACAACTACAACAAACGAAAACGAGGGAAATTACACACTGGGAGAAAAACTTCGAACGGAAGCGAGTTAAAATCAAAAATTACATTTTACACATTGATTTAGACTTAAGATCACGTTATAAGATCATCACGAGCGCAACAGAGATAGCAAATTATCTATATGGTGGACATATAGGATAAGTATGTTTACTATATATACTATTAATATATATAGTATATATATTAGAGTGGCTCGACCTGTTAGCATTGCAAAAAAAGTAGAACAATTAAGAAGAGTCTTCTATGGATAATTCTAAATTATTTGGCCTTGGAAACTTTAGTTATAATATTAATGTTAAGCTGAACTTTACCACTTAACCAAAAATAAACCCAATTTTCCTTTCTTTAGGGTATGTCAAAATCGAATCTTAGATCTATAATTTTTACAATCAAATTGGTGAAAGTTTTAAACTGGGTTTAAAAAATAGATATTTATCTTTTGAATACTACCAGATATTTTAAAACCAGCTGATAATCACTCAAAATTAAAACCCTACAAAATCTAGTTTCTTAAAGACCAATTAGTTAAAATTTGTATGCAAAAAAAATTAATTACACATTTTACGGATGCCTTTGTATAAATTAAACATTTCCTGTTGCCTTTTGCACATAATTGAACCATTTTCTGTTTCGAGCAGCTCAAGCTCAAAAACGTTATTATCTCTAAAGTTTTTACAGCGAAATTAGTTAGAATTGTTCATAAATTGGTTTTTGCACCCTACGCAAATCGATTCACCCTCTTGGATGTGTTTTGTGTGTGCTTTGGGGGTATGGTATATGTGGGGGGATCGGGGGGACATATATAACATATATGTGGTACTGCTATGAATCTGGGTTAACCGAATCCTTAGCTCCACATGGCTGCATCGTGGACGCGGCGCAGGACGTTACGTTGCTGATCCTGATCCTGTTCCTCCTCCGCATTCCGCTCTTTCACCTTCTGCTGATGACCATCCTCCACCTCCTCCTCTTGCTTCACCCGACGTCGCGGATTCCTCTTCCGTTTCCAATGACAATGACGATGACGATGATCCACCACAACGGCAGCGGCTGCCTGCACTCAATTGTAAATGAAATTGGCCGCATCGCATAGGGCATCGCTGTCGTCATCAAACTTGCCATTCATGGCATAGGAACTGGTGCCAGTGCCGTAGACCCATTCCTTTTTGATAAAGTCCCCATCGGTGGTCGACGACGACGTTGTGTTGTGCAGTCCACCCAGCGAACTATGATCCAGCCGGAAGTCATCGTCATCATCCGGATACAGCTGCACTGGTATGCTATCCGGTATCGAGTGCGGTTCAAAAAGATTACCATACGGCGGCAGCGAATGATTCAAATCCACATGATGATCAACCAAATCACTATCAAAATTGGAGATACGGAATTTTGAGCTAGGCGGCGATTGTGGGGAATGCAGGGCAGCCGAATCCTCAAACATCACCTCCTCCTTGATAAACATATCGTTGGAGTTGTCGCCGGAGCCCGAGGAATATAGATTCGGTTCCACTTTAATAATGGCCGCTGTGGCCAGGGACGGTGAAGATTTCTCATCGTCATCATCGTCATCGAAGTGGTGATTGTGATGGTTGTGATGATGATTGTGGTGATGGTGATGCTGCGGTTGGGTTTGGTGCGTATGCTGCTGCTGCTGCAGTTGCTGATCTTCGTCCTCATCTTCATCGTCATCCATGTCCGCCAAATGACGACGTCGGTGGTGGTTTCGGTGGTTGTTGCGCTGCGTCACCCGCTGCTGCTGTTGTTGTTGGGCTTGTTGCTGTTGCTGCTGTTGGTGGTTCCTCGTGCTGCGTATGATCGTGGAGCCCCCTAGGGCGGCCGCTGCTGAGGAAGCTATAGACAGGGGCACACCGGTGGCCTTGGACACCAGCACCGTGGATGAGGAGCAAGAGGTCGAGGATGACGATGGCGATTGAGCGGGCGAAACAACTGAAAGATGAACAATATTCATCAATTAGTATACATTGATTAACAAATATATATATGGGCATTTCCACCAGGAAGTATACCCGAGCCAAAAGCTTAAAAATTCATTTAAAGTTCATATTTGTTGATTTTTAACTGATATTTCTTGAACTTTAAACAATGGGTAATCAAAAAAAGACATCGTTATCGGACACCGAATACCTATGTATAGAAGACCCCAGTATTAACCCTCTGAATAGACCTTAACCCTTTGAAGTTATAATTATATGGCTGACTAAAACTTAACCGAATCCACTCACCACCGGTCTGCTGCACCACACTGGTCAGCGCTGACCCAGCGCTGATGCTGGTTGAATGATGAATGATTGGCGTCTTTCGTATCAACTGGGAGCCATTGCTGAGATTGCCGCTGGTGTTGCTGGTAACAATGTTGCTACTGCTGTTGCTGCTGCTGCTGTTGGTGGAGGTGTTGCCGCTGCCGTTGCTGGTGCCTGCACCGCTCTGGATGACCTGTGCATGCAGCACGGGCGTTGGATCGGAGGTCTGTTGCTGCTGCTGTTGGGATCCCTGCTGCATATAGTTTTTAATGACAATCGTTCGTGTGGGCGCCGAAACGAGATATTGCTGTTGCGTCTGCTGCTGCACCTGCTGTTGCGACATATGATGCTGCGAGGCTGGCGAGGATGAGGTGGAGGAGTGCTGGTTCAGGTGTAGCGAGGCATTCGAGGACTCCGATGAGTCCTCGCCGGTGGTCAAGCGATTGGTGGTTGCGTTCACAATGTGCGAGGAGTTCATACCGCCGCCGTTGCCATCCTCATCATCCCCGCTCAATCCCGAATGTTCGTCCAGTTCCATTTGGTGCTGGTGGTGTTGCTGCAGCTGCCGATTGCTGCTCGTGTCGGGCCGTTCAATCTCTTGCGGCGGCTCTAGCTTAACAATCGTTGTTGCCGCCGCCACCGCCGTTCCGCTATTGCTGCTTGAATTGCTGCTACTGGAGTTGCTGCTGTTGCTCGAATTGTTGCTATTGCTGGCCTTCGAGGAGGCTGCTCCGGCTGTCGACGCTGCTGCAGCTCCTCCAGGTTGATCCCTCAAATGGACCTGCATGTGCGTCTGCAGTGAGGACTGCGTGTGGAGCTTCTTCTTGCAGATCTTGCACTCGAAGGGGAAGTCACCCGTGTGCGTCCTGGCGTGGATTTTAAGGTTATATCTCTGTCCGAAGCCCTTGCCACATACGTCACATCTGAAAAGGTGAGAAAATAATATATTTTAGTTCATATCATATGGTTTAATAACAGGCAGTAAATCACTTGTTCTAGTAGGAAACAAAAAAAACAGTCATTTAACTTAGAAATTTAAAAGAAAATCCTATTTACTTTGCTTTCAATGTATTTCTTTTACAATGCTTACGTTTTGCTTTTGTTGGATTATAATTTTGACTATTTAAGATAACTTTTCTTGGGGATATAAGCTAATCAAAAGTAAATAAATTGCCAAAATCTATAAAATTTAAAAAAAAACCTTAAAATCACATATGTATAGGTAATCCGGAATTCTAACACGTTCCTTTAAAGCCATAAAGAAGGCCTTTGAAGACATTTTGAATGGATAAAATATGGTTTTAAAAGGCATTTAAAATTTTGAATGGATAACATGTGTATTAAAAAGGCATTTAAAAGCCCTTTCTGAAAATACTCATAAAGTTTCGAACCAAATAACATAACAAAGTTTGACCATAAAGTTTTTGTCTATCATTATTCTTAATAGGACTTACTTGTGCAGCTTGACCCCCGAATGCAGCTTTGAATGCCCTCTCAGCGATGCCAGAGCACTGAACACTTTGCCACATATCTCGCAAGTCAAATTCACATTCTCGTTGTGAATCTTCTTGTGCACCTTGAAGTACTCGAAGCTCATGAACTCCTTGTGGCACACCTCGCACTTGTACTTGTGCCGCTCCGACTGCTGCCCGGTATGCACTCGCATGTGCTTGATGAAGTTAGGCCGGAAGCGGACGACTCTGCCGCAAATCTGACACTCGTACGGCTTGCAGCGCAGGCAATGCTTCTCGTAGTTCTTTAGAGACTTTAACACCATGTTGCAAATGGCGCACTTCATATTATTGGCATGACCACTGCGATGGATGTCGAAGAGTTCCTTGGAATCGAATTTTTCCACACACTCCACGCACTGGTAACTGGTGGTCACGCTCGCCGCCGGAGGATTGCTGTTGCTGCTGCTGTTGGTGGAGTTTGTGCTTGTATTGCTGTTGCTAATGGAGGAAGAGCTGGATGCTGAATGCTTTACTGGATGGGTTTGTTGCTGCTGCTGCTGCGATTGCTGCTGCTGCTGCTGTGCCTGCTGCTGCTGTCTCTGCTGTTCTTGTTGCGCCTGCTGTTGCTGTTGCTGCTGCCTTTGCTGTTCTTGTTGCTGCTGCCTTTGTTGCTGGGCCTGCTGCTCTTGCTGCTGCCTTTGTTGCTCCAATGCCAAGGCCAATTGCTGCTCCGCCGCCGGGGTCTGTTGCTGCTGCGTTTGCAATATCAACTGAGTGGCCGGTAATGCCTGTTGCACCACATTCAGCACCGTCATGGGACTCCGGCTGATAACCGCCGCTGCTGGCATTCTCACATACGTTGTGCCAGCGGTTAAGCCACCCACAGCGTTGCTTATGTAAACAGGTCGTCGCTGCAACTGGACAAGAGCCGCCTCGGTCACAGGCACCGACAATCGGTGGGTGGTGGTGCTCACAATGCTCCCAGCGGGCAGTTGAACCAATTGTTGTGCTCCACCGGTTGTTGCGGCGCCACCAGCACTGCTTGTCGATCCTCCCGATTGCGAAGCCGCACTAATTTGGTACTCCAGTTGCCCATGCTGATCCTCGTCATCATCCTCATCCTCCTCCTCCTCCTCGTCGGGCATTTCATCATCCTCTTCCAGTTCCAGCTTAACCTGTGTGGACAAATGCTGCGTGGTGCTCTCCGGTTCCTCATCCGCCTCAGCAGCTTGAGCCTCCTCCTCGATATCCTGCAGATTTTCATCATTCAACTCGGGATCTTCCTCCTCTTCGTCCTCCTCTTTGATTTCGCTGGCCGACAAAACGGATGAGTTACCCGTAGCCTGGATAATAATGCGTCGTCCGTTTAATAAATGATGTTGCTGCTGGATCAGCAACTGTTGCTGGTTGTCGAGGTTATTGCTGTTGCTGCTGCTGTTGTTGCTAAAGGAAGCGCTGTTGTTGGTTGATGCTGCTGCTGTTGCCACAGTGGCTGTTGCAGTTGTTGCTGCTGCTGCTGTTGCTGTCGGTGGGTGGTTGTTGCTGCTGTTGTCCAGCTTCAGATGATGATGCGGATGATGGTGTTGCTGCTGCTGTTGCTGATGAAGATGCTGCTGCTGATGCGAATGCGAGTGGGGATGATGATGCGAATGCGAGTGCTGATGATGGTGATGCACATGCGAATGCGAGTTCTGGTGAGGATCGTCGTCCTGCTCCATGGGAGCATCCTGCAGTATAAATTCGATCTGTTGCGATAGGGCGCTATCGTTAATGGCAATCAGTCCGTCCACATCCTTGACGCCGGCAGCGGCGCCGACGGCGGGGAAGAGCGATGGCAGCGCCGCCGACGTCCCGCTGCCGCCGTCGACGTTTGTAGCGCTGCTGGCCATGGCAGCGGTATAATATTATAATATATTTTACCGGTTTATATCTGCAATTCATTAAAAAGTGTTAAAAATATCATATATTTGGTCAACGCTTGTAATTTAACTCACTTTTTATGTAGCTGCTCAGATTGCGGCGGCTGGTTTAACGTCTTGTTCGGATATTATAATATAGTTAACTGAAAAATAGAAAAAAAATATTTTTTTAAAAATGTGATATGAAAGTAATCGTAAAACGGAAAATTTGATGATAATTAAAAAATAAATTTTTTTTTAATCTATTTTCACTGTTACAATGATTTTTTGTATAGAACTGACGTTATTAGATAAAACTTAAGGGATTGCCTCCTCATTAGAACTCAATAAGTATATTTAAGTTTTATCTAAATATTATGACCAAATCTGAATACAATTCAATGACTTTTTATGACCATTTAAAGAACATCTTTTAATATTTTACAATATTGAAAACTAAAATTCTATAGAACTATGCGGCTTTAAACACAAATACATGAATGGAAAAGAGTATTTTGAGAGTATTTTGACTTCTGTAAGGCATTACTTACATTTATTTGCGTTTTTAGCTGCCAAAGTTGCTGCTCCTTACGTGTTTTTTAGATCCGATTCCTTTTATCTCTTTAGTTACTGTTTTTTAAAATATTTTTAGGCGGTTGCTGTTTCCTTTAATTCAGTTTTTCAAATATTTTTCAATATTATCTATCCTTTTGCGGCATTTTTTAAAATATATTTTGTTGTATATTTTTTTGTTTTATTGCAGCTTTTTCTTTCTAGCTGTGCTTCTTCTTTAGTTAATTTCTTGTATTCTGCTTCTTCTTCCTTTAAATTTTCCGCCTTTCTATCAATCTAATTTTTTGTATGCCGCTGTTATTATTATTATTATTCTTTTAGATTGGAAAACACACGCACACACACGTTTTATTTATGTTTTGTTTTGTTTTTCTTTTGCTCAACGCCTTGTTTTTTGCCTTTCTTTTATGTTCACATTTGGTTTTTTGGACTGCACAAAAATTTTCCATTTCCTTGTCATGCGGTTTTTTGTGCTTTCCATGCGGCGACGCTGACTTTAACGTCGCTGCTGGCAGCGCTGCTGCTTGCTGTTTTTGTTGTTGTTTTCTTGCTTGATTTCCACATTTTTATTAACAATTTTTTGTTTTTCTCACACGCACACATTGAAATTTGCTCCTCTCTTGTTTGCTCTTTCCTCCTTTCCAATTTTTGTTATTATTATTATTGATTTGCTCTCATCTTTTTTGTTTTTTGTGCAGCTTGCTTACTAACTGTAAATAATGTAGAAAAATCAGGTAAATTACATACACGTTTTGTTGTTAACAATTAAATGCGTTTTACGAAATCGAATTTTTCATCCACACACACAAACACGCGCCTTGGAAATAAAAACAAAAAATTAATTTTAGCTTTTCCCCCCACGCACACACAGGTTTTTCACTTTTGCTCCATTTTTCTTTCGGTTATTTTTTTTCGGGGGGAGGTCTCTTTTCTTTCTCTCTCTCTATCTTTCCTTTGCTCACATTTTTTGACCTTTTCGGTTGTTCTCCTTTTTCTCAACCGCTGCTTTCTTGCCCGTTTCTTTAGTTTGCTGTTACTTTTTAGTATATCTTTTGTTTATTTTGTTAATAATTATATTTTGCTGTATTTTATTTATTTGCTATATTCGCCTATTTTATTTTCGGGTCTTTGCAAGGCAGCAAAAACAACGAAAGACGCGACAATTAGCGGCTGCGCTGCTTCTTCTTCTTCCTTTCCTTCTCTGCTTCTTCATTTGCCGATTTTTGCTCCCCCGCGATAAATTTTCTTATGGTTTTCCCTTCCGAATGATTGTTGTTGCCGTTTTCCACACACACGCTTTGCTTTTCAGGTTCGTAAGCTCGATTTTTTTTCTGCGCTGTTCTTTGCTGCTCAATAATAACAAAAAAAGATTTGCTTGTGTGTGAATTTTTGCCTCCCTGGGTCTTTTTGCGCTTGTGTGTGTTCAGGCAGGGTTGCATTCAACGGACAGTGTTGGTTAACGAGCAAAGGGCGCGCAATTTTGCCCAATATTTAAAAGTTAATTGGTTTTTGGTTGGGTCGTCACACAAAAACTACCTTACTTTTGTTTCTCTTGCTGGATGACCCCTTCCACTTCTTGTCCTACTCCTTTCCTTTTGCCTTCTTACCCTTGCTTAGACCCACACACACTGGGACACAACATTATTCTCACGGACACACAACGTCAACACAAAACAAAATACATACAACAGCGACCAGCAAAATGTTATTAGCTACTTTTTCGAAAACAATCATTATGTTTAATATTTAAGAAAATTTAAAACCAAAATCCCAACCAAATATAAGGTTAATTTTTTGACACATTTTTAAAACAATAACGATTAACAAATTTAAATTTTTTAATAAAAAAGTTTTAAAAACCCCTTTTCTGTATCTTAGGTAAACGAACTAAAATAAATTAAACATAGTAATTAATATACTTATTTATCATGAGTAAAAATGCTGTTACGGGTATACAATTTCAATAACTGTTGCCTCGCTAATCTTGGAAATATGTATTAGAAACTGTGGTTTGCATTTGAATTTTACTGAAGTAAATAGTACAATAGGTTTTTATCCAATATACATTTTTTTTTATTTGTTATTATTTTGCCCATCACTGTGCTCAAAGGACTGCCAGAACTTGGAGCCCAAAAAGGGAGCAGAAAAACGGGGTGAGAGGAGATCTGAGGGGGAAGAGCTGACCTAACAAGCGGAAATAGGCACAAAAGAAACACACCGAAAAGCAGGCGGCGCGAGCGAGAAGGATGGAATATAGGCGAATGCCGAAAGTGCGACTGAGAGCGCGATTGCCTCAGTGGTTGAGCGTCATGCGATAGACAGTGGGGCAAAAAGACCAACGAATTTTTGAATTGGATAATTAATATAGATTTTTTTGACAAAACAAATGGTCGATTTTACAGTAGAAATTAGGAGTTCTTGTACAAATATTGAATCAACGATTGTCATTAGTTATTTTGTATTGAACAAAATTTAAAAAAAAGCTATATATAATAGCTGATCTTATTATTGCAAAAAAAAAATACCCTGTTTGTCGCGAAATGTATTTTAACGGCCCCAGTGTACGTTGGGTCTCGCAGCGGGTGATGGGGAAATGAAAGGGATGGGGCGAGAGGTGGAGAAGCCGTTTTATTTCGACAGTTTTTGAATTGCGCTCTCTTTCTCTCTCTTGTTTCTCCCTTTTTTCGTGTGCTGCTCCTGGAAATAAGAGGAAGATGGAGAAGAAGAAGGCATCATCACCTTGGAAGAAAATTTTCAATGGGAAATAATTCGTTTCGTTTTTTTTTTGGGGGGGTGGTGGGTGGTTTATTGCTCAGTGATTTTTTGCCGGGTAGCGGGCGGGGGTGAGTAACATATTTTGGGGGTTGAAAACACACGCACACACACTGCCACACATAAAAAAAGGGATAACAAGGGTTAAAGAATATCCGCACAATAAAATAATATAAAATAAAATCCACACACAAAGGCAGCTGGAAACTCTCTCCCCCACAGGCACACACACTATCAAAGAAAAGAGAACTAGTTCTTTTTGTTTTGCCATCTCTTATTCTTAACTATTTGGAAATCACATATTACACATTTGCATGCAATATACAAATCTTTTAATTGTTTATATTATTAACTGGCACCGCTCTTTTTTGTGTTCTCTTCTTCACACTTTATTCGTACTTCACGCGCACTCACACACCCACACAAGCTACACGCACACTCCTTTGGCTTTTCCAATGGTTTTACTCACACTTAACATCACATTTTCGTTTGTTTGCCTGTGTGTTGCAATGCAATTGGGTTTAGTTATCACTGGTTCTCTTTTGTCCGGTTTTTTAATGTTGCTTTGATTGCGTTTTATCTCCTTTTTGTTTTGTTTTGAGATTTTTTTACGAAACTAAACTTAAAGGTTGGTAGTGTGACCAAGGCCTGAATGTCGAAATATACCATTTCCCATTGAACAAAATACCACTAAGGTGATTAAATACCTCAAATTTGCAAGCCAACACAGAGTTGTCTTTGTTGGGTATTTTTCATTTATCGGTATATAGCTTACTTTTAAAACTTCGACAAACTGTTTATTTTTGAAAAGTTTTTATTACTGTATAATGTTTTCAATGAATATATTTATTTCGAGACCAGTGATTCTTACAAGAATCACGACAGACTGCACGCAGAATAGCAAGCATGGTCACACTGGTTAACGTTTTTTTTCGATTTCGATATACACTTACACTACAGGTTTGAATTCGAACAGAAATCTAGCCTTACGTTTTTTTCCGATCATCTCTAACGTTGAGACTTACGTTATCCCGTTACGATTCAATTCAAATCAATCTTAATTAATAATTTATACGCTTTATACTCGCAGATTAAGATGGAAAATCGATGTCTTATAACGGTCATGGGAACTATTGGGTTAAATTGGTTAAGTTTGACATTTTTGAAGAAATTTGTGCATGTTTTTATCTAGTTTTATACAGTTGGCTGTTTTTAAAAAATTATGTGAATATCTCGCTGTTTTCTGCCTAATATGGTAGTTTCATATCATTTCGATTCCTCTTTTAAAATGATTTAAAATAATTCAAATTACGATAAAATTCGATATAGCACGCAAAATACAAAAATATATTTGGTATCTCCCTTCAAAACCACTTATGAAAAATATTTCAGCAACCATAACTTAAATTTAATTTATTAAATTTATTTTTTAGTACAAGGAACCAATTTGTATTCCTACCAAAAGTATTTTAACGTATATGACCGATGTGTACTCATATAAACCATACAGAAAATAAATAGTATACTGGTTTTCTTCAAAGAGACCATATAAAAGTAGAAACAAAGAACTCACAACACAAACTTGTTTTTATAAGTCTCGTCATATTTATTTTTCTTGCTGATAAATTAGTATTTATTACCAATAAATAGTTACACTTTGGCTTTGCCATCCAAAACAAGGTATAATTTGTATTATTAACAATTTTTTATATTTAATTTTAGACAGTTTGCAATTTTAAAAGAAGTGTTATACACGCGCCCCGGCAAAAATTTCCCATCGACCAGCTGTTCGAGAGAAAGTCAGAAAAGAGCTCTCTCCCATTTGCGAGAGAAATTTAACATTTTTGGTTTTCCGAGATTCAAAAACTTTGGAGATTTGCCCTTCATTGCAGATGGCGCGATATAAAGCGTGGCTAATAAAACTAAACAAAACAAAAGTAAGCTAAATTAAACTGAATAATGTTATACAATTATAACTTTGATAATTTAATTGGATTTATAATGTTAAATCCAGTTTTCAAAAATATTGAAGGTTTCTTTAGATCTAATGAAGAAACTTTGAAATAAAATTGTTAAAATGATGGGCGTAAAAGGACAGATACCTCTTTTGTGCAATCCATTGGTAACTTTAATTTAAAAATATTAACTCGAAAATGGGTCAATGGAATTTGTTTAAGCTGGTACCTTTTTCAGAGAATCAAACTCATACATAATTTTCTTCTTACAAACATATGTAGTTTACAGAATGTTAACCGTTTTAACCGATTGACTTTGGAGTTCCTAAATTTTAGACCGCGATTCACCCCCTCGTAGACAAGAGAGAAAGAGAGGATGTCTCAAAAGAGCAGGAGAGAGAAAAACAATTCCCTCTCTCTCAGTCTTCTTCTTCTTTCTTTCAATTCCAATCAACAACCGTTTATTTCTCTTTCTCGTAACGCGAAATTCACTCTGTTTTTTGCAGCGCGCGCGGTCGCATCGAGGCGGAGAAAGCGCACAGCGGAGAACGTTAACGAGAATCACCGAAAAACAGAGAACTGAAACGAGAAAACAGAATCAAAAAACAGCACAAAACGCTGATCAGAATCGCTGAATTAAATAAAATTAAAATGCGGAGGTGAAATACGTGAAATAATTCAATTAATTCATTTTGCGAACAACACAACGTTAAAAGAAAAATGGTTGTATTTTGTTGTTACGTGAACGTTGCGTTTTTGAATTTATGAATCAATTTTTTGTTGCCTCCCGCCGCGTATTATTTTCTCATTATTTTTTTGGCACTTTTTTTTACTGTGTATGTGAAGACAACAACAATAATAATAATGGTAACAAAAACAACAGCAACAACAAAACATAAACAACTACAGTAAACAGACTAAAACAACGGCAGAAAGCGGCTAAAAACAACGTAAATATAAAGTTCTACGCTCTCTTTATTACGTTACGTTTTGCTAATTTTTTTGTGTTTTAGTGTTTTTTTGAAATATTTTTTAGTTTTTTTTTATTCGGGGATGGTGTTTAGTTTTGTTGTGTAGTTAGTTGGGCCAATTAGCATTTTGGTGTCACGGTGTTTGCTTATTGGGATATGACAAAATTCAACAAAGCGGTGCAAAATAATAAGATAAAAAAATCCAGTGGCAAGAAGCAGAAAAGCCGCAACGTAGAGAGCGAGAGAGCGCGAGAGCGAGTTTGTGGTAAAAAATTACACTGATAAAAAAAATGTTAATTGTAGTTTGTCTTCTGAGATGTTATATAAACAGATTGTGCGTCATCCGCAATGAACAAAATGCAAAATTCAGCTTTGTTTAAAGAGTGTTTTTTTTATATATTTTAAAGATTTTTTTCATTTTATGTGTATGTCATATTTTTTCAGTGTAATAAGTTAACAAACTGACGACGTGTTTTTTTGGTCTAAGGAAGAGAGAGAGAGAGAGAAAGAGAGCGAAGCTGGGTGGTAAAATGAACAAGGAAGTGAAATAGGAGGGGGATTGGGGAAAAGCAAGAGAGCGTTTCATTGATTTTTCCCACTGAGAGCGCGAGAGCAGGAAAACAAAGGAAAAACTTGTCTCGGCGTGACTGCAATTCATAATTAGATGGCGGCAATTGTAATAAAAACAAAAACACAAGCAAATACAAATACAAAAATCCAAAACGGGTTACCCCCTCGCCGTCCCCTTCTTGCCCACCTGCCGCCTTGCGCCCCCCTCCTCCCGAAAAAGCCACCACCAAAACCAAATTCTGTGTCTCTCTTTTTCGACCACCAACAAAAAGTTGGGTAAAAAAAACAACGATAAAACACCAACAACAACAATGAGAGAACGTGGGCAAAATGACGGGGAATTTAAGTTAGTTAGTTAAGCCGAAATTTAAAGGCCCTACGTTCTATGAGAACATGTAACTAATTGTTACAAAAATTCAATAAAATCTTCTTATCCTGAAATTCTGATCAACTTGATTTACTTTTTTAAATTTACAGTTAATCATTTTTAAATTATAATTTGTATATCCTGTAATAAACAGCGAACCTTAATAATTTAGTAAAAATAGAACATGATTCGTTTTATTTAACTATAACTAATAGAATTTTTATTGAAATGTAATCTAACAAAAAAATGAACTTCAACAAACATTTTAGCGAATTTACATAATTATAATTGCCATTTTCAATTTAATTTAATAATTCAAAGAAACTATAATCTTTTTTATTTACATTTTCGGGTTTGTTTTTTCTGATATACACCGTTAAGATAATTAAAACTGTTATTTTAAATTTAAATGATATTTTATAGGTTATACATAATTTTTGGCGATTAAAACAATAATGTAACTCAATATAAATCAAGAGAATATTCTCCGTAATTTCAAAGAAACGTATATATAAATTTCCTAACCATTTTTTAGCCACGAACAGAGGAAGTTGAATGGCGGTTCTACTGATCTTCTTGATCGATTGAACGCGTGACTTTCATTTCCAAGTATCTTTATTTTATTTCGTAACGAAATTACCAACTTCTCTTTCTCTCCCTCTCTCGTTCGCTCTTTTACCGGTTCTCCCCCTCTCTTTTGGCCATAAAAAATAACAACTACAAAAAGTGGTAGCAGCTCAAAGCCAACAAGCAAAGCAAATGAAACGCAATGAGACTCGCTCTCCGTATTGGAATTTTTTCTGTTGACGTGCAATTAGCAAAGTGGCCGCATTCAAAAATCCGTAAGCAAAACTCGGAATCGTATAAAGAACAAACAAAAAAGAAGAATCACCTGCTCTATTCAAACCAAAAAAAAAGTAGTACCTACTAGCCACCAACAAAATTTTAAAAGAAAACAAAAGTTATAAGAAACCAGTCATTGCTGCTGTGCCTGTTTTTTGCCACGCCGGTTTTTCTTCTTTGGTTTTTTTTTCTAATTATTTCTTCGTTTTCGTACTGTTTATCATACAATTTAAGTGTATTTGAAACAAAAAAGAGCTTGCCCATAGTAGAAGAATGTAAAACTGCATTTCTGTAAGCCCAAAAAAATTTCCCCTCTAAATGCCCTTCACTTCCTTCCTTTTCCCCAAAAAAAAAAGTATGAGCAGATATTACACAATTTTTGTATACAAAAAATCCTGCTTTCTTGATAACCTTCAGTTTTTTTTATATAGTTGAGATTTATGTACACAATAAAAATGTATAAACATTTTGCTAAGCTATTTTAGTAATCAAAATTTAAAATATTTCGGTAGTGGCTAAGTTTTTAAAATGGTAAATATATAGTTCAAATTTTCATACATCATTTTTTTTTTTTGCATAAAAATTGCCTTAAGAAATAGTTAACTTATTAAATCATAAGGCAGTTAACAAATTTCCACCCCAACCAAACTGGATTGCAAATAGAACGCTGTCTTCTTAGACATTTTTCCAATAAAACCCCTCGAAGAGTTTTCTTTTAACACAGCTGCGTTTCTTTTATAGCCTTTCCATCGCCAGCTGAATCAAAAGCACACCTTGTTCTTCAGGTGTGTCAGCGTTATATATGTACGCTATTTTTTACTAGCCTCGTTCAGTGGTGTTTGCTGAACGTTTTAGAACTTCGAGGCTTCGACAGTTTTCCCATGGTTTTTCCAGCACTTTAAGTACGGCGGGGCATTAACCCCAGTCTTATCGTCGGTGCGTGACGAGCCAAGAAAACTATAGCTAATATACAAAGTGTTTATGCCAACTGACCAACAGAAGCATAAGCTAATGAAATGGATCATTGGCCAAGTTCCACATAGATAAATACGCTAAAACGTGGTTTTACATTAATCTGGGTCTAGATCTTGCCGGGAGTTAATGCAAGTCAGTTCAGCTCAGATAATGCATACAGAAAAAAAAACCAACCAAAATAACAAATAAAACGAAAATTATAAATGCACATAAATTCCCCAGACAATTTTCCACTTTGCTCTGTGAGCAGCCAAGAAGTGAATGAATAATGGAACGAAAATTTGCTCCATCAAGCACGTGTATGCCGCCCTGTCCCCCCAAAACCCATACCAAACCGAACCCCTCACATCCACGCCCCTGCAAACCACTAACACCCCTCCCCCTTAAAAACAAAACCTAAATCCCCCGAAACTTAACCCATGGCAGATCAAACGAATATTTAGAATTTTGCTTTGTAGCTGGATTATATGTAAAATAAGAATTTAATTTAATTTTTTATGTACCTACTCATTTTAATTTTGAATTATCAAAACCAGCACGGTGCGTTTTATGGCCTTAGGGAGGTTTAAATAAATGAGATTAAATATACTGAGGCAACAACAAATGTATTGATAAACACTTAAACAATAATGGAAACAGATGCATCATATTATTTATTAGGTTTAGTTCTGAAACTATTAATAAATTACACAACATGAAAAGATAGAATTTAACAGTTTTCTCACACTAAGTAATTTGCATTTAACTGAGTAAAAAAATAGTGTAAAAAATATACTTAAATCAGGCTTTAAACTGACCTACGCCTCTGAAACGCACTGTACCCAATCATACCGGAGTTATTGCATTCGTACTCATGTACCTATTTCTCTTTCTCTCTTTTTTTATGTATGTCACCACCACAACCACCACACCAAAAATCACCAAAACCTCAATCAAAATAATTGAAAAATATTTAAAATTTTTTATAAAGTGTGCAATTAAAATATATAACCAAGTATTATATCAAAAAATAATGCAAATTTTGATAAGTGTCGACGGGAAATGTTGCTCAATATGAGCCAAAAAAGCAGCAACAACAACGACAGAATAATAGCTGCCCCACAACAACAACAACAGCAAATTAAAATTGAAAAAGTGCAACAGCACAAATGATGCATATATAAAATAAAATCAAAATAGCAAACAAAACAAAAAATCCAGCCAAAAAAATTAAAAATTTGAAATAATAATTTTTTCCTCCCCTCCAATTGCCTGGCAATATCTAATTGTTTATATATATATATATAGCATTACCATCTTCATATATATCTATTATATATGTAAATGTATTATATATTTGTGTATCTGTGTGTGTGTATTTTCGTGTGCATTCCATCCATTAATTCTATAACTCAATTTATGTAAAACAAAACAAAAATAAATAAAAACCAAACACAAAAAAAAAATAAATAAAAACGAAAAACAAACAACAAAAAACCGCATGTAAGCCGCGTAAAACTAAATAAATAAATAAATTTACAACTTACAATTTACAATTAACACCCGTGAATCAAACAAAATAATCTGAACCAAAAATCGTGCACCAAAATGGCGGACATCATGCGTCCGCCGTACAGTGAGATCAAGCGGCCGGACGAAATCGTCAGAATGACAACCGCCGACAATCTCAAGTTCGCCGTCCTCATCGGCCTCATCGAGGTTGGCCAGGTGACCAACCGGGAGGTGGTCAATACCGTACTGCATTTGGTAAGTGCCAATTAACCACATTAGCTATATTTATAACAGGTTTTGTTACTTTTGGCCGAAATCACCAAGAGTTGGCCAAATATCGACAGCTGTATCATAATTACCAAATTGTGTTTGTTGTAGTCTTTTACCAAGGCCTTTATTTTAAAATGTTTTGATAGTTTTAATGATAATTTTCATCAGCATTTCACATTTATGAAAAATATATTTTAAATCAATTTGGTCACCTTTGCCCACCTCTTAAGAATATTAAAATTTTTTTAAATGTTTTAAATTAAAGAATAAGCAAAAGAATAAGCAAAAGAATGAGCTTTCCATATTTCTAAAATTTGATTTTAGTCGAACCAACTCCTTTCAGCTTATTAATTTGGGTAATTTTATTATAATTTAAAAATGGTAAGGGTCATTGCTTTTCTGGGTCATAACATTGAAGTGAGATCAGAAAAGTGATTTGGTCAACGCATTGCTTGGAACTCGTCCAAACTGGTGCTTTATGGGTTCCATATGAGCTCACAAATGAGAAAACATTGAGTTAGACATTAAAACAAATTGAAGCAGTCCACAATTAGCCCAAAGTTGAAGTTAAATTAAAAACAAAACAACTTAACAGCTTTTTTCAAGGCTGAAACCACTTATCAAAAATTATATGTAAAACGAAACATTGTTTGTAGGTTATACAAAACACACACTTTTTAAATATATTCGCATCTTAAAGCTCTACATCCATTAACAAAATAAATAGCATAAAAATTAATATTCATGCAGGTCAATGCGATGCGCACAAAAACTAAATGCGGTTTAATTACATTCAGGTGTCGCAATGTTGCGTAAATAAAATTAAAATCATATTATATCATTGAAAATTGTCTGCCACATTTAATTTGGCTTGAAAACTTTAAGAGCCTGACAATTAAAATGGGAGAAAAAAAAGTTCACTTCAAATCTCGACAGCAATTTAACTCTCTGTTTAGAAAGTAATTTCCTCACACAGCAAGACCGACTTTTTCTCATTCCCATTAGAGGAAAATTAACATTTCCAGCAAGCCGCAAATGCAAAGGATAAGAAGGGGGTGGTGTGTGGGTGGTTGTGTGGGTGATTGTGTGGGAGGTTTTTGGAGGTCGCTGTGAATGTGGGTTAAATTATAAGAAGTATGCCAAAAATCTCGCCCGACTGTGGGGCTCTGATTAGGATCAAAAGACTGGGGACTAAGACAATGTCTATGCCAACTTGTCTTCTTCCTGTCATGGCATTTTCCAACCCCCACATTTTCCCTCCCACAACATTTCCACCCTCCTTAGATTTTCCCCAACACCCTCACGTGGAGAACATTATTATTATAACATATTTAAATTTCTAAAGCTTAATGAAAACACGACACCGTCGCTCATCATTACCGCTCAGTTTTTTCCGCCCCCTCGTGAAAATGAGAAAAACCCAGCGTCAACTGAACAGTCTCCGCCAGGTGGCGCTGCCACTCAGTCGGAAAAGTTATCCGAGTTCCAGCGAAAAAAAAAATTATAAGAAAAACAGCACCTCCACCAAAATGAGGGGCCACTTATTTGGCGTTGGCTCAGCTGAAAATATGGAAAATATATTTATACGCCTACAGTGGAAAAAATTGCAATCTACTTTGGAAGTGAAGTCAATTTTTTTCACCGACTTAACACTCAGAAGGGTTGTGTTTGAACCCCCAAATCGTGCTGCGGATCTGACATAATAATTGAATGTTGTTTTTAAATCAAACAAAAAAATGTATATTCTAAATTAAAAGGTATTTTCCATCTGTAGAAAAGTCAACAAAAATGGGCAAATTAGGCAAACGAAAGGGGTAATGAAAAGTATTAGAGGGTGTAGTTTGGTGAGTGCCTCGTAATAAGAAATTTTATAGAAATTGAATTAAAGTTCGTCATCCGCTCAGTGGCGTCGTCGCCGTCGTCGTCGTTTCCATCGCACTCGAATAGCCCCAGATAAGATAAGCGCAGCCAACCCGGCAGATAAATTGTAGATACAGACCGGTACACAGGTGCACACACCTATATAAATATAAAGCAAAAGCGGAATGTGTGCCAAGTGGGGGAATATATATGTACGTACAAACCCATATAGGTACATTATATGGCACGATCTGATAAGCGTGAAAAAATGCGTTGACGTGTTCCAATGCCAGCTACAGACTCGAAAAACTCTCCTCGCCGCCCAAAAAATTTGTGCCGCACAGATAAAAAATAAAAAAAAAAGTGAAAAATGTAGGAAAGTACCCACTCCATGTAAGAACCATGAAAAAACCCCCCGAAGACATCGCAAACCCTGAAAATCAATAGAAACAACGTGGTCGATTAATGTTTATGGATATGGAGGTGCTAATGGATGGCAAGGTTGATAGGGATATGAGTAGAAATATGGATATGGATAAATTAGATTGGAGTAGGTAAGGTAGGACTAGAACTAGGGGGTTTTATTTTGGTAATGGAAACGATTTATCGTATCTCACAGATACGATGGTGGATAATGGATGGCTACAAATTTGGAAATTCCATTTGGTTAAGGTTTTTAGCTGATTAAAGTACAGATAATTTGGTTTTTGCAAATATAAGTTTAGTGTGACCAAAAATGTAGTTTTAAGGCATTGCTAACTTTTAGTATTCAGCTTAAATAATTAATCAATCATTTTTTTTTTTTGCTATTATTTGTATCAGCCAAAATTTGATGCACGTAATTTTAATTTAACTTTATATGCATTATATAAATTTTGTATTTATTGGATTCTTAAATTGTTATTAAAAGTTATGAAGAGGCCACAAACTTGATCCATTTGCCTTGGGATCATGCATTAATTTTCTCTCCTTAAGAGCTTTTTTCTGTTTAAGTTTTTTTACGGCCCCACCTCAACAAAAACGAAACCAATCCGAAGTGAACTCAACTCATTTGGCTCACTTGAGGGTCACTCGCCATGTTGGCTTAATCGGTCATTGGGCTTGTTATACGGCTCAATTATGCCCGTTTTGCCATGTGGCGCATTTGCTTCTGGCCCTCAGCAACTCCCTCTCACACCCCCGCACTCCCCCTGTTCTGGCCACGGGCCATGGGCCATGGGCGGTCCACCCTCTTGCAAAAGACCACCCACCCACCAAACCACCACCACCTCTCTTGAGTCCAGAGTTTCAGAGCCTTCTGTTGGTGTCACGTGCAAGAGAGGCGAAAGCCTTTTAATCGATTTCTCGTTTTCCCTGCTCCGCTAGTAAAATAATCGTTTAATGCAAATCGCTTTCTGTTAAGCCCCTAAAAATAAGAAGGTATTTCTTGCATTAAAAATCCAAGAGGGAAATGCATAAAAAGGATAACGACTCGGTTGTGTTTTGTCAATGTTTTATTCTTGCTCCTTTTTTAATTACATTTTATTTGAGTTGAAAAACACTTCCTTGAAATTTAATTAGGAATTTACAAATAGAAGTGGTCGTAAAGTTATTGGACCCTTGCAGATGGTGTAAATGATACAAATTTTAGCTTTATTGTATTTTCAAAAATAGGAATACACTTTGTTCATTGTTAACATTTTCCAAAAGTCGGTTTTAGTTTTATAAACATCAGCCGACAAAATAAAGAATTCGAAATTAGTAAGGTACATAATTAATTCAGTTCATAAGGTAATGATAAAACAAAAATGTATTATAATTCTAAGTCTAATTCACATAATACATTTTTGTAAAATAACCATAACGAAATAATTAAATAATACAAAAATATAATGAAATTGGCCTCTGCAGTTAATTAAATGAAATTGAAGTGGTATTCTAAAAACATTCATACCTTCCTCAAATATAATGCATAAGGCAATTAGATGAATTTATAACATCACTTGAACATATAATAGTACTAAACAGCTAATTTAATGCCATGTGTAAATTCACCATATGAAAATTTGTTTTATAAATATTATCTGGATACATATTTGCACACATTCGTTTCACAATCAGCGATTGTTGTCGAAAAGGCAGAAAAAAAAAATAAAATAAAAGGTGGAGTAGGTTGTTCTTCTCCACATTTATTTGGTACTTTGCTTTTCACCCTTCTCTATTTATCTTATTCTACGTAATTCCCCTTTTTGTTTAGTTCGCTCTTCACCTTTACATATCATTTTCTGGCTGATAAAGTCGTTCAGAACGAAGAAAAAAAGGTGGAAAAATACAAAAAAAAAAAAGAAATGAGGGTTCTACTAAATAATGTACGAACATACTTTGCTACTTTTACTTAATTTAATTAACGGCCCGGGCAACGACAACAACAATAGCAACATGACTTTGACGTCGACGCCTGTCAGCTGTTCAAGTGTCAGAGAGGAAACAATGAAAATAGGCTTTATATTGTTGGCATCCTGATGAAGGACACCGTTGCCAGATGAGAGGGGGTGGTTTTAGGGGGTGGCGGCGACGAGTGGGTAGATTTGGCGGCCGCAAAGAACACAGAAAAAAATTACAGAGTTTCTAAGCTTATTATTTTAAAACTTTCTTTTAAATATAGCTTACAAAGAATATGAAAACAATTCTTTATTGCTCTGCATATTTAAAACTAATCTTAAATTAAAAATGAACTAAGTAACAAAAGTACTAATACGTGTAATAATAATATTCACAATAAATAGAAAACTTGGTATTCAATAAAATTCGTGATAAATGATCTTTCGATCTAGTAATTTTTCGAAATTTAACAAATAGTCATACATTATTAAGGCATATTATAACTAGTATTAAAATGAACAAATAGCCAAAGTTAAACTACTAATATAAAGTCATGATTATTATTTGTATAAAATATTTTTAAATAATATTATTTTTGTAAATTTAATTTAAAAAAAAACTTTTTTTTTCCGTGACTAAGTAAAAAGTGGAGAGCAAGGAAAGAAAGTGAAATGAAGAACAAAGGGAGAGAGCGAAAGGAAAACTTGCCTAGACAACGTGTGGAATGCAAGTGGGTGGATCAATTTTCGGGGGGGGACTCCCAC